TTTTTTTTTTTATCCAAAATAGTTGCAGTTTATAAAGCAATATTCTCTTATCTTTCGCAACGAGTATCGATTACTTTTTCTCGAAGAGAATACCTCTTTCATCGATCACTGTCCGAAGGAAGAAAGGAATGAAATATCAAAGTTCACATTCGAATTTCGTTTCGTTTTTACGAATGGAAATCGTAATTTCGTAAATCAAAAATTAAAAATAAAAAATTTTCGTTTCGAATCCGAGAGATAATTTCTAGAGAAATTTCTTTTTTTTAAATAATCGATTATTTCGTTCGCACGAATCCTGTTCGAAGAAGAGAGATCCAACAAGACGGAAAATGAAAGGATGAAGAAGATGATCCATCGATTCGTTCGACGAGGTATAAAAATCTTTGCCTTGAAAGATTGAGAGATCTCGAACCCGATCCTCGAACGAAATGTCGCGAGTTCGCAAACTCTCGATCGTTCTCAAGTTGAATCAATCGTTGCAACATTCTATCGATTCTTCCAAAAGATAAAAGAATACTTGTTTCTTATCTCGAACAAGATGCTGGATGTAAATGGGAGGACGTTTCGTCGTTGTTTGGAAGTCGAGATTTCAAACCTCGTCTTACTTTTCTACGAAATGGAAATTGAAAAGATTGAAATGTTGAAACCTCCGATAGAAAAATTCCATACGAGAAAAATATGAAAGTCGCGCTTCCTTTAATACGTCGCGAATCCGATCGTTACTCCTTCGTTCACCATCGAGAATCGAGAATCCCTATTCTCTCGAAACCGTGATCATTTTATTTTTATTTGGAGACGTTGCTTCGAGCTTTTCGATACCTTTCGGTCGGTCATCTTGACTTTTTGCATAAAAAAAATGATACGTTTTCGATTTCTATTGAAATATATTTTATAAAGCGATAATTCGTAGGTAAATGAAGCGAGAGATTAATTTGACAAACGGATTTAAATCGAACGAACTTTGCGACTAATGCCGTTAAATTGATCGGAGTAGATTCGACTAAATCGAACGATGCTTTGGAATAAATGCAATTTAATGCGATTTAAACAAACTTTTATCTCGCGTTTTAAAGTTTAATCTTTTACAAGTAGATATCAAATATTTTGAAACGTATATTTTTCAAATTCTTCCTACTTTTGAAAAGTTGGTATATTAAATAATATCTTCCGTACGAAAACGAAAGATTTTGTCATTTTTAATCTACTCGAGTAAAAAAAAAAAAAATAGAAAGTCTTTTTTTCCTTTCCTGAAATAAATATAAGAGAGAGAAACTGTCCGACCTACATAAAAGTGTGATCTATTATTAACGCTGTAAGAAGGTCTAAAACAATTAGATGTTCACCTTTCGTGACTCGCACGCGTGTTTCGTGCTTTTTATCTTTGATCCGTTTAAAGTAATTAGGACAATAGAGGGGATATCGTGGATAAAACTAATTCGTAGAAAAATATACGAAGCGAGCGACACGACGACGTGTACAAGTGGAAAAGACTTAATCTCTCGTTTAGCGGAAATTAGAGGGTTCTCGTCTCTCCGACACTTTCGCTTCTCGCTCGCTCTCCTTCTCGAGAGTTACTCCACTCTATCTCGGATCGTTTCAGTGGAAGAAGGTGATGGCCCGTACCACGCGCTCGCGACGAAAAATGGCGAACACGACTGATGCTCCCTCGCCCGCGAGCAGCCTTTTGTCGTCCACCACGACGACCCCGTTCACCGGCCCGACATCGACAACCTACTCCACCGAGGGCTACACCTTCAATTACACCGGCTTGCCCGGCCTGGGTGGCTACTCGTTCGAGGACTTGAATTACACGGAACTGTGGGTGGACGTGTGGAACAGTACAGAGGCCAGTAACGCGACCGAGAGGTTGAATACCACTGTATTGTCATCGGGAGGAGGCTACTGCGACGAATGGGAGGCGGCGCAGCACAAACTCTTCCAGGTAAGCTCTAGAGCGAAGGATCCGTGTACAACCTTGCTTGCGAGTAAGATTAGAAATTGGAAGCATTTGTTCTTTAACTAAAGATAGTTTTCAATAGAAATGGAATTGGGAATCGTGAGGATAATAATTTAGAAATATTTGTACGCATAGAGAGATGTTAAGAGAAACTTTGTAGCAAGGAAAATGATAGATTCGCGAAATCTATTTAACGAAATCTCGAAATTATTCGAACGGTTGCGCGAGATGATCGGATATCGACCGAGTCTCGAAGCGCGAAGCGGGAGGCGAAAATTTCTTACGCTCGCTGCTACTCGAAATAATTTAAACGATCACATCGAGTCTTAAAAACGAATGCCGTTGTGGGAACGAATCTTTAAAGGTTAAGATAAAAAGATTCGTTTTAAAACAGATTTATTGAACGCGACGCGCTTTCAATTACATTTCGAGTACACGTCTTTCTTTTCGATTATTATTCGTTGGAATAAATTCGTTTCGAATAAATGAATCGATCGTTATCGCGAAAGAGGGAGGGAAAAAGAAGAACTCCGGAGACGGTCGCTCGAATTTACTCGGCCGATGGATTTTCTCACGAGGAAATCTGTTTCGATTTGCCTTTTACCAGGCGGCGAATCTGTTCTTCGCAGCGGCGTTCCTGGTGCCGCGCTCGTTCAAGGCTTCGGTACTGGCGCTTCGCACCTTTCTCACGGCCGGCTTCATGTTGGCCGCCCTGTGGGCCGGGATCACGATATGCGCGTTGGACGCGATGCTCTGGTGCCTCGCCCTCGGCCTCCTCAACGGCATCCACTCGCTCATACTAGCCTGCCGATTTCTACCGCCCGCGCTCAGCCCGGAGCTCGCCGAGCTCTATCTCAAATTGTTCAAACCGTACAAGGTCAGCAAGAAACACTTCCAGGAGCTGGCCAAGGAGGCGAGGATATTGAAGCTGGACTCTGGTCAAACGTACGCGACGGAAGGCGTCACGCCTGCCGACGAACGGCTGTCGATACTGTTGCGTGGCAAGTGAGTATATCTCTGCAAGGAGGAATATCGATACGCTACATTTCCTTATTCCCTTCGAAACGACGAAGTTTCGAACGAACCGGTCTTATTCCATTTTCAATTCCAAATTACAATTCTTTTTACAATTCTTCCGATTGAAAAGGAATTTAACGCGTTGCGTGGATTTCGTTGGTCGCAACGATCGATCGCGACTTATTTGGAAAAATTTGTACTATTTCTGTTCCGGGCAAGTTGGGGGAGGGGGAAAGTTGGTTTGGCGTAGAAAGACGGAAAGGTGGCGCTATCTAACGAACGGTTGCGCGGAGTGCAGGCTGAAGGTGACCTGCGACGGGACGCACTTGCACTACATCAAAGCTTATCAGTTCGTGGACTCGCCGGAATGGGAGGCCACGCACGTGAACATCAACGACGTGTTCCAAGTGACGATACGAGCCGAGGAATCGAGCATCTACATCTGTTGGACCAGGATCAAGTTGCTCAGGGTACTCAGGCATAGGCCCCTGCTCAAGGTCGTCCTCAACACCCTCATCGGTAAGGACATTACGTCCAAGTTGTACGCCCTTAACGAGCAGCTCGCTGGTGTCGCCGCGACCAGTGAGACAACCACGTCGAATCCTTACAGGGGTGTCGCGAGAAGTCTTAGCGTCGACGCTGTAAACACCGAAACTGCCGGAAGAGTACGATCGACGACGTGGAAGGCACAGAGGAGGCACAGTAATCCGCGTAGCGACAGTAAGTCTCTCTTTCTAACTTTTTTCCCCTCTGACCAACGCAACGATTCTTCCTTCCCCTTTCTTCCTCTTTTTCCATTCCTTTCGAGAACGACGCGTGGTAATTTTTTCACCTCGAAAATCGGAGCAACCAAATAGAATAGCCTAGCGTAGTCTTGGAAACGAAGGATAGAATCGAATCGATTCTTCTTCTATTCCCGAGAAACTAAAATCGATCGTCAGATTTCCGTTTCGAATTTAACTTGGCCAACTTAAAATAAAAAATCTTGGAAACGGCGAGTAGCAGTTGGTTATTATCCGAGTATATAACGAGTACGATTCCCGATTTATATCGGGAGGGATTGGCAACCTCATTTCCATGCAATAACGCAAAAGCTAGCGAAAACCCATATCCGCCACCCATAGCTCGGAAACTCGATCGAACGAAAACATCAAATTCTTCCCTCCTCCCTCCGCAAAATTTCCAATCACCCTCAGAGTCTTAATTCGAGCTTCATTTCCTAAAGTAAAAGCGCGCTCGAAAATAAAACGAGCCTCCCCTCTCCCGTCGATCGATATCGCGAAAGGGATCGAAATTCGACGGAGCAAATTGTCGTGATCTCCACAGGGAGCTCCCCGTCGCGGTACTCGCACCAGTACTGGGCGCCCGTCGTGGCCAATCACTTCCCGCCGACTTCGCCGTTCACCCAGGGCCAGAACCTCGGCTACACGTTACTGCCGCAAGGTGTACAGTTCTCGCCACCGCCGCGGGCACCCTTCTTCTCGCACCAGCCGTTGACGAGGCAGCGCAGCGGAGGGGCGAGCGGCGACTACACCCTGCTACCTCAGACGCCCAAGCTCGAGAGGAAGCGGTCGAAAAAGGGGACGAGAGAGGTGAGTGAGCCGCGCCACGCTTCTTCGATTCCTCTTCTCGCTGTCGCGCGCGGCCGAATGTAAATAGGGCAGCCAGGCGAGGAACAACTCGATTACCGCGCGTACTCGAGGCAGAAAAATGAACCGATATCGAGTTAGCATGGCCGCTGGCTGCTGCCACCGTGTCCCCCGAGGCGAAACGACTTTATTCTCGCAAAAAGAAGGTAAACGAAGGGAATGTCGTCCATTCGCGAACGAAGCAGCGAAAGAAGAGAGGAGGAGAGACTCTTGAGGCGACGAGGAAACTAGCTTCCTTCCTTTCTATGAGACGACGCGAGAATGCTTTTCCCCAATTAACTTCCTTCCCTTTTATGATCGTTCGCAAAGTCGCGTGTCTCTTCAGAAAATAAAAAAAGACGTTCGAATACCGTTCGCGTTCTCGTCCTCTCCGATCGGAAACAAAGCGAATAACTTGAAATAACGTAATAATGTACGGAGTTAAATTTGAATAAGATCTGATAGATTGGGGAAAAAAAACAATTGCATGTCAGAAATATCGAGATTTGCATTAAATTAATATGCAACCGAGGTATGCAGGATGAATCGTAAATTTTATTCATTCTCCGTCATCGATCGTTAGAAACGAATTTGAATCTTAATGTTTATTACGAAGTAGATTATATTTTGAGAGAGATTAGGATTAAGTTCGTTCTAAAGGTCAAAAATTTTTGCGATAAGAATGACAAATTTCCCTATCGCAAAGCAAATTACGATAGCCAACTTTGTTTCTTTCTTCTGGGCAATGTACATTATTTCGAATCTTTTTTCCTTCTTTTTCTTTCCTGTTTCAAGAATCTCACGTTTGACTACCTTTTAACGAAATTGACGAGCGAGAAAGTTTGTCCCGTGAAAAGGAGAAGGATAAAAAGAAAGTTAATAGAGAGGTAAAGATCGTCGCGCGTTAGTAAGAGTATCAAGAACGACGAAATCGCATGCGACGCGTGAATATTTCAGTAGCACCCTGTGCCACGTGTTTTCAGCGTATAGACTAGGGCGATACAATTTTTAAAAAAGCCTCGCGGATAATTTACGGCTAATTTACGTCGTTGTCGTGTCACGAATCGAAGAAAGAACTGGGCAAGACGGGCTTTTTAATTCATTCGGCTAATTCGTTTAACAAGTGTTAAAAAGTCGTTGCGCACGACGAGCGACTCTCGATCCACGAGATTGATAGGAGAAATGCGACGATAATTCGCAATTTCTATTTTCGCGCGTGACAACGCTCGAATTAATTACAAAACACGGATCTTCCCTTTCTCGTTATTTACATTTTTCATATTTCCTTTAATTTGCTCCTTTTTATCGTAATTAAATATCGTAATACGATTTACGTCGTAGTTAAAATCGATCTCTCTTTGATATTTGTACAATTAAATGTATACACGATTCGAGGTACGTTATCATTGACATCGAGTAATTTCAGAAGAAGAAGGCATCGCGCGAAATTTGCCTATTATTCTAAGAATACGATCTCGATAATGCCCCGATAATAACCCACCCTCTTTTAGCTTTGACCTTCTCCCACGACTCCTTAGCAACGTGCCTTTTAGCGTTACGAGCCACGTGTCGAGTAAGTATGTACTTGGCGAGTCTTTAATGCCTTTCATGCCGTCGAAAAACATTTTTAAGGTCTTACGATGCTAAACTCAACGCGAGAAACGTATCATTTCTTTTTTTTTTTTTTAATTATTTTTACGCTTGTCGCGTAAAAATAAGGAAGAGAAGAAAAAAATCGTATACGATTCGATAATGGAAAAATATCGAATAATCAAAGTGTTTCCTTACAACGATAATTAATCCATCCGTAGCGCGCTAACGATCCAACCGTGCCTACAATTAAATTCGCATAACGCAGCTAAGCGTTTCTGAACGAGTAGTGGAGAAGTAGGCAAAAAGCAATTAGAGATTGGGTTAAATTAACGCTTAAATTACCATTAAATTCTCGGGCGAGGATGGAAATTGGATGGAACGTAACGATAGCCAATAATAATTTCGTATTTTTTGGAAATGTTGCAGGTAACGTTCGAGACGCCCGTATGACGGTCGCTCGACGGGGAGGGCCCTGCGAGCGTACCTCTTCTTTCGCTATCGCCGCAGCGTTCCGCCTAGCCCCGTCGAGATCTCTCGCCACGGTTGTTGTTCGTCCTCGAAAGTACGTCGCCGCGTCGATCGGATCGTAGCGAGTCTAACGGCCTATCGCCAGCTACGGTGCGCGATCGTGTCGCATCCACGGACGGACACGGACGGACTACGAGCGCAGTTTCTCCAACTGTGCGCCTGTGTGCGTGTGTGCGCGCGTGTGTGTCCGCGTGTCTTGCATAACGCGTGCGTCTGTTTACCTGTGCGTGTGTGCGTGCGTGTGTGTGTGTGTGCGCGCGCGCGTCGATGCTCTGCAAACTCCGTGATTAATAATAAGCCGAGCAGCGGAATCTTTCGTAGCTCGAAATGGACGAAGAAAAAGATCAGACCATGTTCATATCCCGCAAGTGCTACTACGCCTTACACGTAATAACTGATAATGTTACACGCAGAGAGCCACGTGCACCTACATACCTAAACGGAAATCTTAAACCGTGTGTTCGCGATCGATGTACCGGTGAAAGGAGCGCGCGTGTACGGTGTTCGCCCCTGCACACCAGTCATCTGTCCTTCTTCCTTTTCTTCTTCTTCTTCTCCTTCTTCTTTTCCTTCTTCTTCTTCTTCTTCTTCTTTCTCGTCGAAATCTGGGAGAGGAAAGTGAGACGAGACTTTGGAAAGAGTTTGGAAGAACGAAAAGTCTGGGTTCCACTAGGAGGAAACTGGGACGAAGAGGAAAGTTAGGCGAGCAGGTGATGACGAAGGAGAGGTCGGGAAGAGGGAAGAGAAGTCTGTCGGTAATTGGAATCACGCGCTCGATCGTTGGAACATTGGATCCTTCGAGTTTGAAGAGGATGGATGAGAAAGTGGAGGAAGAAAGGTGGGTTCGTGTTTTATATTCGAAGAGAAAGCCGACGAAACGGTTGTCCTCCAACCCCTGTTAGAGAGATGCTTTGTCTCACCCTCGTTTTCCGTTTCGCGTTCGTTTACACACGAGTGATCTCCGATCGGTTCCCGATCCATCGTCGTAATAAAAAAGAAAAAAAAGAGGAGGAGGAGGAGGAGAAGGAGGAGGAGGAGGAGGAGGATAGCCCGAGGGAAATTCGCGTTTGCTAATTATCGGTGGAATAGGAACGCGAGAACGGCGAACACGTCGGTGAACGATTCTAGAGAACGATTTAAACGAAAATTTAAAGGAAGATTAAAAAAAAATTAGATTATATTGTATACTTCTGACGAGCGTTGACGCTCGCGTACACATTTACATCGACTGTGATTATAACGGATATAATTATTAAGTCTTTCAGAAAGAATACCGAGTATCTAAACACAGAAAACTGGGTATGGGAGAAACCGAGTTAACGAGTTGAAGAGATTTAGAGGGTCCTCGAGATCGGTAAGTTCAAAGGCGTGACCATTGCCGTTAATTTCCGACTATACGAAGAATTTCGCGTAATCGCTTTCGATATTTTTTCTTTTTTTTTTAACGAAAGTCTAATTAATTCGTAAAATTTACGTATATAAAAAGAAAAAAGAAATTCCAATAACGAAGCGTAAATTTTCGAGCTATCTCAATCTTAAGGAATCGAATTGTCGAGTGTGTTTAACGCGAAACAAATTTCGATCGAATGATTCGTTTCTTTAACGAGCCACGTTTTTTTTTTTCCGAGAAAAATGAATTTTACGCAATTAAGCAAGGAACGGAATCGAAAGGAGAACGATCGAAATTTCAAATCGAGTTCATTTAGTTCATTTAGATGAAAAAAGGAAGCGATTAATTTCGATGGGGGACGAGCGATCGGCTCGGCGACTCGTTCTATCAGAAATTCATCGGCTCGCGTGTCCACGTCTGAACTGGGATATCGATCTCTCGAGGACGGAGTAATCGGGTAGGCGAGGTCGAATAAGATAAACGAGTGGAAGAAAAAGAGAAGAGAAAGGGGAGGAAAAAAATGCGAGAAAAATGCAACGCAGAATTTCGAACGACGGAGATAAACGACACGGGGATCGTTGCATCCATACCTGAAACGATAGAAGAAAAAAAATCGAATGCGAATAAAAAGGAGAAATAGTGGGTAGAACGAAGAAACAACAGGTAATACCGTTTAGGGGTAACGATAACGGGAGAAAGAAAGAAAAAAACGAATTTTTAAAAGAAGAAGAGGAGAAAACGACGAAGATAAGAGAACGAACGTAATCTCCAGATGTAACGCAATAAGTGCTTCGTTAAAATGAAAAAAAAAAAAAAAACCTGCAATAAAGTGCTTCGAAAATAAAATAAACCAAATAAAAAATAAATAAATAAGTAAATAAATAAAATAAATGAATAAATAAATTAAAAATATAAAACTCGTAGTTGATTATCGAGAGGATTAACGGAGCAGAGGTATCGTTTAAAACGCGAATCTTAGGGTTAAATTAATTAATTACGTACGCGTCGCGCGAGAATAAAGAGAAAATAAAAGGAAAATAAACAGAGATAAATAGAGCACGTGTAGTAGAAGCAAAAAAAAAAAAAAAAAAAAAAGAGACGAATATTAAAAGAAAAAGAAAAAAGAAAAAAAAAGAAGAAAATAAAACAATGTGTGTTTGTATGTTTCTATGTTTATATAATCCCCGCGTGTGAGAGCGAGGCCGTAGAAGATCTATCGAGACGCACAAACGATTAAAACGAAAAAAAAAAAAAAAACGATTTCAAAAAAATAAACAAAAGGAAAGGGAAAGACAAAGGGGAGGGGGAGGGATAAAGGGAAGGGGAAAGGGGAAGGAAGTGAAGAGAGTGCGCGCGCGATTCGAAAATTAAAGTCGTGACAGCGTTATGATGGGACAGAGAATAGGAAACAGGTGCGTGTTTGATGCAACAACAACGATGCAAGCGAGCCGTTACGTTTTGTTGTAAACGTGTTCCGTTGCGTCGATCAGCCTTGTAACTCGTGTACTCTGCGTTGTTCTTGGGCTACGTTCGTCGGAAAATATATCCTCGCGATCGATAGAACGATCGTTGTAAAACGGACGATGTGTTTGAACGTGGAACATATGTTGCAGTTGATAGCCACTGCCGTAGAAATTGTGAATATAAATATGGGTAACGTAAATTTAGAGAGATATTGGGTTGAACGGTTGAAGTGAGTTTGGGAACATCGTTTCGGTTCTCCGACGAGTTATTGGGAAAGCGAATAATTAATTTTTACGTTTCTTTTCTTATTTGCTGATAAAAATCGCGTATTATTAATTTTTATTTATATTTCTATCGCGAGAGAAAGAGAAAGGCAGAGAGAGAGAGAGAGAGAGAGAGAGAGAGAGAGAGAGAGAGAGAGAGAGAGAGAGAGAGAGAGAGAGAGAGAGAGAGAAAGCGATAATTATATCATTATATTTGACCGCGTTTATAAATATTTTTACGAACAAATTTCCTTTAAAAAAAATATTCTTTGAATGTAAAATAATTCGCGATACAACGAAATTCAAGGTAACAATAATCCCAAACTTACGAATACGATAGTATAAGGATCGGAGATGAGAAATGTTTCGTTTTGTTATTGATTATTCGTCGAAATGATACGAATGATATTTTTTTAATAATTGTACATAAACGTAAAAAAGAAAAAAAAATAAATAAATAAATCGTGTTTACCCATTATCGAACGAAAATGTACCTGTTTTTTAATTAATCTCGAGACGACATTTATCTCTCTAGATTTACTACCAGCTTGAAAAACAACGTTAAAAATATCAATGTTTCGTCTATTTTCAATCGTGTCAATATTTTTGACAAAAATCAGCAATTTAGTCATGTTATACGAACAATATAATTTGCAATTAATATCTTGTTAGCGAAATTAAATATTATTTACAGTGCGACGCAGAATTTTATTAAAGTTATTGGAACAACTTCGCTTCGCGCCAATCACGTACACGAGAATCAATTATTCGTATATGCATTAATTATTATTTACCAACGATTTTCAGAAAGGATCGGGTTCGATCAGGTAAGTTATCCATTAATTACAATCGAGATAAAAATACGTTTGGAAAAAAAGTCGAGGAGGAAAGTCGAGCAAATTTTCGTCGAATCTGATAATTCCATAGAGAATGATTTAACGAACTTGTACGATACGCTACTACATGGATATCGTCCAATTAATGAAAATGAAACGCACACGCCGCGTGTTACGCGCGAAAATCACGAAAATCGCGTTGGAGAAGAGAGAAAAAATGACCTCTTCCAGCTTGGAATAGTATATCTATGCTTTTCTAGCAGATGTTACGCTATCGTATACCTTTGATATTTAATCCGCGTAGGAAATAAACGAGTTCTCGATCGATTTCGATCGACCTAGTGTAAAATACACGCATAATATCGTAATCTATAGTCTTCTATGACAATACGTAAGAGTAGTAGAGATCTCGGAAATCTAATTTCTCTGTGGTCGTGTCGAATACAGCGAACACACGGGGACACACATATTTACATAACGACGCGCTTATATTTTTATATATATGTACGGTAAGAGAATTGTAAAATAATATCGTTATATATTATTGTACATAGGAGACAGTAGTATTATACAGTACGATGATCAATCGCGCGTTCTAGCGTTTCGAAATTTTTTAACACGTTTCCGTGCAATCGTATTCTTCGAATAGGTCGCCGTGCATCTCTCTTTTTATTTCCAGTCGCACCTTTTCTATTATTTTGTCGATCGATGTGCGTTCTTTCTTCAACGAGCATCGTATATTTCGTTTGAAAATCATCGTTGAAAAAAACTTTTTTTTTTTTTCTTTCTTCTTCGGACAAATTCGATTTTGCGCGTAATATTATTATCTCGTACAACGAGATTTTTTGCAATCGTATTAAATCTATGCAAGTTATACGAATGATACGTTGGTTACATTTTTTTTAAAAAATATCCTAAGAAATACTATAAAATTTGATCGATACGTATTAAAGAGAAATTATAACGTTTTCGTCTTTCCGTAGCAAGAAATTTCAATACAATTTTATGAAATATAATGAATGAAAATGGATTCACAATTGATAAAACTTTGTTTAGAAATTTTAATTAAATTTTCACGACTCGTCTCGTACTTTTCGATTTCTTAGGGCCATTATCCTGAAAGAAAGAACGAGATGCAATCTGAACTGGCAATCTTCGTCCGTTAGTAGCCCATTCAACAAGTTACATTATTTCGATTAAAATTTGCAAGGCTGACACTTGTCGCTAGTTCCAGATGTAAAGCATCTGGCGATTGATTCGTTGAATACATCGGATATTGCCAGTCGAAGAGATAAATATTGACTATAGAAAGCAAGACGGCCGGTGTCGATCAGTAGTAATGGTATCAGTAGTAGCGAATCGTACAAATCAGACACTGCTCCGAGCCATCGGATCCTCGAACACTCTTATTATATCTCGTACACTTTTTCTTTTTCTATCGAGTTTCGAAAGAAATAAATAGGAATAAAAATCATTGAAACGATATAAAAATAGATATGCTTTATTTCTGGATAAAAGTCGTAAAAAACGTTTCGTACGTTGAATTGGAAATATAGAAAGTGAATATTAATATGTAAGAATTCATAGAAGATAAAATATATCGATAATGGAAAAATGTTACAATCGTTGCAAATATCATAAACGTTATATTTACTTTATAATTTTATACTTATTTTGCGTTATAAAATATATAATAAAAATTAATCGATAACGTTTTAAAATTCGACGAATACGAAGTTTAATATTTAACAGCGTGAAATTTATTTATTTTTTTTTTTTTTATTCCAAAGAAATAAAGAAACATCCCATTTCTCGAATATTTCTATTCTATTTTTGATAACGTTAACGTTAGATAGAAATATGATAATTGGAAGAAGCATTGCCACGATGTTTTTATTCCTTATTGTCGAAACGGAAATATTTTAATTGAACTCGATAGTAGAATTCCTTCCACGTCAACTGCGTTATAGGTCATATTTTTCCCCCATTAACATCCATCGCAAATTCACGTGGAAACGTACGATAAAAGAGGAAATTAATTATCGTTCCATTTGTTTTGGTAAATTCAAAAGTATCTTGAACGAACGTCTGTCTCTACAGTATCGTTATATCCAATTATATATCGCATGTATACGTGTTTCTCTAAAGCAACGATCGTTTCTTAATTCCCGACCGACCAATTTCCAACAATTCTTCCTCTTTGATCCGTTCGTAAAGGATAATCCGTTTCCGTTTCGATTTCATTTGATGAGAAAAAGATGAATTTTGTTGGGAAGATGAGGGAAGAAAAGAAAAAAAAAAAAAGAAAAGAAAAATGGAAGAACGTAAACAGCAATTATGACGTCGCGTAATGAGAAAGATGGCGTGGAACACACGTTCTACGTGTCCCGGTTCCTCGAATCCGTCGATATTGGCATGAAACCAGCTGAGCGACGAACGTCTGGCTTGATTTTAGGCCGAGTTATTTACATACGAATGGAGACCGAACCGAATGCATTTGCCAAACATTTTTTTTCTTCTCAACCCCCGCTCCATACGCTCGATATTTTCGACATCCGCAGGCCGGTCGCACGGTACGTCTCGTATAATAATGCGAACAGCAATGAGTTTGGATAGAGGACAGTTGGTGATTCGTCGGATGTGCACGTTCAATCGTTAATTGTTTAACCGATAATGTCGTTTCCGGCCTCCACGCTCCGAGCGTAATTAGCACCTGAAATAGCTTTTTCGCACGTCCTCTCTCTACCTCCTCTATTTTCGCGATCGCTTTTCAACTTTAATTTCACCACCTTTAAAATCCCGCAAATAATTCCGCGCATCTACGTAGATTTACATACGCGGTATAAATTTCTCGCCAGATATTCGTGTTTCCTAATTTTGCAAATTTTTTGCCGATTATAAAATTTCTAGCAATTTAAAAGAAAGATCGTCCGTTCGTGCAAATTCGTATTTTCCGACGAAACGTAGCGTTTCCGTGCACCACGGTATAAAACGGAATAATCCTTTTTTAAACGTTGTTTCGCGTTAACCGGTAGAGCAGCGAACGGAAAGGCGTGTAAGGGTAATTGGCATCGAGACGAGAATCGGCGAAAAGAGATGAGAAGAGGAGGGAAAATTCGCGCATGAACGAAAGAACGAANGAAGAATGGAATGATAAGAAAGAAAGGAAAGGGGGAAAAAAAAAAAAAAGAAAAGAGAAAAAGAAAACGAGACGATGGTGAATCAACAAGAGCACTGTATATTATATTACTATTATTTATTATTATTACGACATGTTCGTTGACTATTATGTTAGAAATAAAAAGTACATTGAGAAACTGGCCGAGTAAAGTAAATCTCCGACAAAACGTACCACTTTCCTCTCGAGATCTCCCTTGTTCATCCCATTGTAACGCTTCTTCTACCCCTATCGTCTCCACTCCCGCCCCTTTTCGCTCTTTATAGTCGTGGAAACAACGAAGTAGAAGCGCGAGGGTACTCGAGCCGGAAGAAAAGCGGAACAAGAGACGACTGGTGATGGCTGGGGGCCCGCTTCGGAACACAATATTTGCCATTTCTTCCTCATCCATCCAAACTCGAGGATGATTCCACGAGTTTCCGCTACTCGATCCTTCGTTA